TAGTTCATTTGAAAAAAATTGTAAAAACCCAAAATATGTTCTCTAATCATAGCACAGTAAAATTAATAATCAAAATCAAAATGAAATTTTTGAAATCTCCAAATAATTGGGTATTTAAACCACAAAGAATTTCCAAGGGAAATTAGAAAATGTTTTGTGAAAAACAACACGATATATCAAATTCACAGGGTCTTAGGTAAAGCAATACCTAAAGAGAAATTATAAATAACTGTATAAAGAATAAAGAAAGGCAATATCAGAGTATCAGAACAGAATTCAATGGAATAGAAAATAGGAGACTATAGAAAATAAAGACAATCAAGTCTTTTTGGTAAACCTCTAGCTAGATTGACCACAACAATCAAACCAACAAACAAGACAACAATTACCAAAATGAGAAGTGAAAAAGAGGGCACCAGTGACCCTAAAAAAATTCTGAGATTTTTATAAAAGTAATATAGTAATAGAGTAAATTATATTATACTACAAGTATATATTACTTACAGTAAAGAATTTTATGCCAACCATATGAGACAATTACATGAAATGGGCAAATTCCTAGAAAAATACAAATTACCAAAATTAACTCAAAAAGAAAATGTGACTAGACCTAAATTGAATTAGTTATTAAAATTTTCCCACAAGAAAGCTTAAGTCCAAATGGTTTCACTGAGGATTATCTCATGCTTCAAGGAAAGAATAATACCAATGCTACACAATCTCATTCAGACAAGAGTAGGAAACACTTCCCAGTCTGTTCTGTGAAACTGAATAGCAAAATTAGAACAAAATCAAAAGAAACTACAAACCAACAGCTTTTATAATACTGATGTCAATATCTGTCAAATATTAGCAAAATAAATCCAGAAATACTTAGGCATACTTCGGTTTAGTGATAGGTTTTGTGCCAACTTTGTTTGGCCAAGATTGGCATTAAGTCTGCGCTAATAAAATGCAGTCACAGCCTGATGACGTTTCCTAAGGGTGTCACCTGTTTTGATATCTATAAAAGACACTGAAGGCACCCGGTGGCACAATGGGCTACTAACTGCAGTCAGTGGTTCAAAATCACCAACTGCTCCATGGCACAAAGAAGCTTTCTACAGTGGGAGTGTGCATACAGACCCCATCAATGTGCACCAAACCCTGAGGGCAATGTAACCAGGAGGAGGAATGCATGAAAAGTTTAGGCTATAGCGCCAGCCCCAACCAGAGCCAAACTGATACCTTCCCTAGAAGTAAGTGCAACAGAGAACAACACTAAACCTACAGGTTGGGGTGAGTAGCCAGCATACCATGCCCACACAGAAGCAAACCAGGAAGGGAAATGAGAAAGGGACATCCTGTCTAGATCCCATATTGGCACACCAAATGCAGAGGACGACATCTTTGCACGGAGCAGCTAAGACACAGAGAGGACTGTAGGGCCAACAACAGCTCATGACATGTTGTCCCCTTACTGGAGCATAATGTGACTGAGAACAATACTGGACACACATGGCGGGGAGGTAGTGCGATCAGTTACACACACACACACACACACACACACACACACACACACCCGGCCCGCAGCAGGG